TGCCCGAGGAGGACTGCATGAAGCTGAACCCCTCCTTCCTGGGCATCGCCCTCAGCTCCCTGCTCGCCATAGACCTCTGGGCCTCCAAGCGCCTGGGTGTCTGCGCCGGAGAGGACTCGGCCTGGGGCAGCGCACGACCCCTCATGAAGGTCATCGAGGTTTCAGGGCACGGCATCCCCTGGCTGCTCGGCACCTTCTGCGGGCTCTGCCAGAGCGACAGCTCAGCGGGCAGGGAGGTGCTGCTCAACCTGCTCTTCGGTGAGGCTGGGGGCTCGCCGCAGGGCTCTGCAGGCGGGGGGGAGGGGGGAAATTGGGATCTGCAGGATGGGGTGTTACTGAGCAAACCGCAACCTCCTACAGCCGGCTGATTCTGAGTAACTAACTAGTGCAGAGTCATCTGGGGTGCCCAATACTGGAGTGAGTAACCTTTGCAACTGGAGGGCGTAGTGGCACAGGTATGGCTCATCTGGCACAGCTCTGACCCCAACCTGTGAGACTCCTGACAGCTACACTGCTCCTGCAGTTGCACAAAACTTTCAGGGAGCTGAACTCTCTTCTAGTTCTTTAGCTTATCAGAACAGCACATTCCAAGTGCAGCTGTCTAGTGTTGAGACACCATCCCTTCCCTGAAAAAGCTGCTCTAGCACACAGACGTCTGTGCCCTTGGGCTGCCTCCAGGCAGCACCTGCATGGGTTGATGTGCGTCAGCCAGTGAGGACTCTTGGTTTAAAGCATTTAAATGCATTTTAATTTTGTGTGGTGTTAACGTTGCCCCCCCAGCATCCTGTCCTGTTAGGTATACTTAGATTCTTCATTTTTTGCTCATTTAGAAACTGAAGTAGCTCCAGAACAACAGACCTTATCAGATTCCTAGTTCTTACTCTCTCATTAAGTTGCAAATAACTGGTATCTTCACACATCATTTGAATTGATACTTACTTGGTGGGAAATGTATGGGCTTGTGTATCTTTTTCATCTAGCAGCACTTGATTAAATGACAGTCCCACAGCAGAGCTGTGGGAAGGGACCTGGAGGGCTCCAATCTGACCTCTGCTCTGGGGATGCCTGTCCCAGCACGGGGATCTTGTCCAGCCCTCAGCGATCTGCACCAGAGCCACACACCTCTCTGGGGCCCTGTCACAGGGCTGCAGCACACACATGGAGAAGGAGTGTTTCCTAATGTCCAAGCTGAACTTCCCAAACCATATGTAAAAAAGAAAAAGCAATTGAACTAGGTTTACATGTGGAAAAAAAATTTTTTGTTCTTAAATTATTGACCAAAAGGAATGAACTGAAGTGACCGAAAGATTTGGTGTCCAGAAAGAAGCCTTACGACAAGCGGAAGTCAGTTTCTCACAAGAGTTCTTTGGAAGAAGTATCCCTGGCTGTGGGCATTGTGCTGGCAGGCATGGAGAAAGCACCCTCTGCCCTACATGAGAAGCTGCTCTTCCCAAATCCTGGCTGAACACTTCTCACAGGTGCTTCACTTCAGCCTTCTACCACAACAGCTTTTAGTTCCCTGGCTGCAAGCCACTATTATTTTGTAATCATCTTTATTCAGCTCTTGCAAACCAAAGTGTGGTTAACATTCTGTCAGTCCTCTCAGAAGTGGGGAGAAGCCAAACAGCAGGAGCCCTGGCACCACCACAGTAGCAGAGACCCTCACGTGGCACTGTGGCTGAGAGGGTTGATCATTCACCCTAGACACTTTGACCCCCAGCCGTGAGGGCAGCCAAAGCAACGCCAAGTCAGCACAGGCTCTCAGGGAGGGAGTTGTGGGGAATATTAACCCCTCTTGCCTTCAGGTTAAGGGTCAGTTTGAGCCCTGGAGTCATGGCTAGATGAGATTTTGCACAGAAAGAAAAGCCCTTGGGTACAAGCCAGATGGAGCCCCGCTGTTGGCTGGGGCAGGCAGAGGGTCTTGTGCTGGATGAGAGCTGTGTGCTGCAAAAGCAGACTGAAGATGTGCTCATGCTGGAGAAGGCCAAGTGCTGAGTGCCATGCTCTCCCTACCTGGCTACTGGAGCTATGGGAAATATTGCCGTCTCTGAGCAACTTTTGGTAGCCAAGTGTTTTACTCTTACCTAATGACTTTGCTTTGATTCTTGCCTCATTGTCTGTGGAGGGGAAAAAAAAACCAAACCAACCAACCCAACCCCCAAACCTTGCTCACTCACTGTTACTGTCTCCTAGCTTTGCTGCTGGATCTCGTGCTGGTGGCAGTGGTGAAAGGGCTCGTCAAGCGGCGGCGGCCCACCCACAACAAGATGGACATGTTCGTCACCATCTCAGTGGACAAGTACTCCTTTCCATCGGGCCACGCCACCAGAGCCGCCCTGGTCTGCCGCTTCGTCCTGCGCCACCTGGTCCTCGCCGTCCCGCTGCGGGTCCTCGTGGTGCTCTGGGCTCTCGGCGTCAGCATTTCGAGGGTCATGCTGGGCAGGCACAACATGACGGACGTGCTCTTCGGTTTGCTGCTGGGCTACGCGCTGTACGGCGTGGTGGAGTACTGCTGGCTGTCCCCGCTCAGCGCGCCCACCCTCTTCGCGCTCTGGAGCCACTGACGGCCAGGGCCCTCCCAGGGGAGGAGGCGTGCACAAGGAGGGGATACTGGGACTTGAACTCGCATCCTAGACCCCATCTATCCAGTCAAGACTTCAACACGAGTGGTGCTGCAGGCTCCTGGGCGCACACTTAGACATTTGGTGCTGTCTTGCCCTCCTGATGGGCTGCCAGGCAGGTATGCACTGGCCAAGCAGCCACACTCACTGTTCTCCCATGAAAAAAAAAAAAAACAGTCCCTGTGGAGCCCAGGGAGGGCTCGACCCATTCATCCGGCAGCTCACTGCTGATACTGTGAATCTGCATGTGCTTGCTGCATTAGCCCGTGGCGTACGTGGTAGCTGTGGCTTTGCAGAGGCTTCTCTGCAGTTGCCTGTGTATCCGTGTGCTGTAAATACACTGACCGTGTCACCGTCATGAGCGTGCCCTGCACGGCCTGCTCCATAACATCGGCCTGGAGGGCACACACTGGGGTCTGCCCTCGGGTTTATAAAAAGCTCTGCCTTCCTAAGCAATGCGTCTCTTCCCTGTTGCTCTCAATTTCAGTACTACACGGAGGCCAGATCTTAAGCAAAAAGGACACAGGCACATGAGTCCCAGTGCCGTGAGGAAAGGGTGGCATGACTGAAGGCTTATTCCATCCATGCCACCCGCAAGACAGCAGGTAACAGAGAGCAGCAGCCTGCTCCTGAAGATCTTGTGTAGAGCTTCACAGCTCCTTTATCCCTCCAGGAGGGAGGGTTTTCAGTCTCCCAAGGGATACAGTGCATTCACAGCAATTCCTGTTTGCCAGCATGTTGTAAGTGGTCCTGACAGTGCCTATCAGAGTGAGCCACTTTGCCACAGCCAGCCATATAGCCTCACGCAGGCTGATGGGCAGCCCCAGGAGCTGAGCCTTCCCTGCAACTCCTACGGCAAGAGGCCCTGTCTCTGCCAGCCACTGCCACAGCTCCCTGTGCTCCAGGCAGGCTGGCCGTCCTACCTTGGCACCATTGCTCCTGGCAGCCTGCTTTTCACAGAGAACTGCTTGTCCTTGGCAGAAGGGGACCATGAGAAGCCTCTGTAATGAGCCAGAGCTGAGATGAAAAGCACAGAATCCACATCAACAGGGACCACTGCCAGTCAGAGAGAGAGGGTGAGGGCTCTGAACTGAGCTTAAGTAGGGCTCCTGGCATGTGGGTGGGGGTGATTGAGCCCAAGTGAAGCTCATCATGGCCAGTAAGATCTGCTAGTGTGCTCAGGAAAGCAGGAATTAAGTTGTATTAAAACCAGGCAGTGTTTAAGTGTGCTGTTCCTCTGGCTGAAGTGTGCAGGAGTAGCCTGAGGGCTGCTGGTACAAGCACCCCACCTCTGCCTATCACCCATCATCAGTCATACAGGGTCTGAAATTACAAGGTTCCCCCAGAACTGAGCTCTGACCCACTGGCATAGTGAGATGGTGAAGCTACCAGCTGTGGGTTTGCACTCCAGTGACCAAAAAAAAAGCAAACCCTGGGTTGCACCACATGCCTGGCAGCCAGATGGGCCAGTCCAGCATGTGCACAGCAGCACCAAGCCGCTCCAGGCAGCCCTCACACCCAAGATGGAGATGAGCTCTGTGGTGGTTTTGGGATGGTGAGCAGGTGGCACACTCTGGTGGGGTCAGGGTTTGGTGTGATCCAGGTTTGTGCAGCGGTGCACAAACAACTTAGCTCTACTTTTGCCCAAAGCACAGGGTGCTTTTCATCCAAGTGGTTCTCCAGGCCATGGAGGAGTAAGGCAGCAACTCTGCATATCTGTGGCTTGTTCTCATGTGCCTGTGCGTGCCAGAAGTTGCACCCAGCTCACTTGCAGGACCCTCTACGAGCTCCACCATCATCAGTGCACACCCCTACTGGGTCATAGGCTGCCCTGCACCTCATACCTCTGCTCTGCCTCTCCCCAGCCCTGCTGGCGAGACCTTTTGTCTACTTTTGTGCTTGTTGCTTACAGAGTCATAAAATCATAGAATCATTTAGGTTGGAAAAGACCTTTAAGATCACCAAGTCCAACTGTAAACCTAACACTGCCAAGTCCACCGTTGTGACCATTTGTCACTGCTCCTCCAAGCACAGGTGCCAGCCCGCTGGTAGGAAGGAGGAGACAGGTACTTTCTGCTTGGCTTGCCCCAGAGCACCTCTGCCCACTGCAGAAACCCTGAGCAGACGTGTCTGCGTGCACGGCCCAACACACTGTACATCCTGGGTGCTTGCCAGGCATGGAAGATGGTGGCTTTCCTGTGGACAGCAACAAGCCAGTCTTGACTGAAAGGTCATGGTTTGGCCCTGGTGCAATCCCACAGTCTCCTGTGCCTGATAGTGCAGTTCAACCTGGCCCTGAGCCCAAGCACAGTGGAAACAAAGTCCAGGGCTGTGCAGCCTCTCTTAGCTGCCAAGGCAGAAAGGCGAATTCAAAGGCCATCTGCACAGAGGCTTCATAGGAGAACGGCGGGGTTGAGAGCTGTCAGAAGTCCCCTGTACCTGTCGCAGAGCTTGCAAAAGAGCCAGAAGCCAGCGAAAGCAGAGCAGGGAGGATAGCACTGCCAGTGCCACCTCCTCACCGTCCCCGTGCTGATCCTCCTGCCTGGTAAGAGATGTTTTCAACGCGTTTCGACACACACGGCGTGTGGGTTGGCAGCTTGGTGTCTCTGCGCCAGGCAGAGATCAGCTCTTGCCAACAGCGAGGGATAGAAAGAGCCTTATTGCACTTACTGAAAACACCATGGGGTTTAGAAGGTTAAAACCACTTCAGGTGCAAAGCTTGGCCCTGTTGCAGCCCTGCACCTTCCTCAGCTCTGGGGCAAAGCTCCCCAGACACAGGAGAACAAATCTTCCCTGCAGCCCCCGGGGGCTGTCTGCCTGTGAGTGTGCCGGGAGCCAGCAACCTGCTTCTGAGCCTCCTGGTCTGTGCCTCCTGCTGCTGGTGAAAGCCTTTTCCTAACCAGTCCCATCACCTCTGCACCAGCAACACCTTGGTAGTGTGGTGGTCCTCGCACTGGGGTCCTGCTGGCCCCAGGACTCCAATGGCCCAGGAGTGAGTCACAGCTATGGGGACACTGTGCTGCAGCTAGGGAGATGCTTTGCCGACATACCTGGCTCAGGGGCACAGGGGACGTGGGGGATGTGGTGCCCGTTGCCACTGGACCAACTGTGGCCACGTGTGCCCCCGAGGTACCGGCATTAACACGGTTGGGCTGATCACGATAATCCCAGAGGTAAAAGGTCAGGGCAGTGTTTGTTTACCTGGTGTGCACATCACGAGGACCGGCTGTGCCTCTGCCCCTCCTGCAAGCCCCTGTCCCTCCTGCAGTGTCCCCTGCACAGGGGTTCCCAGCAAGCCGCCTGGGATGGCTCCTCACCCCACTGTCCAAGGCTGTAGCGAGAGCTGCTGCCGGAAAAGCCGAGCAGGCGGCCGGGAGCCAGCCCAGTGGGGGCTTCCTCTCCCCGGCTCCCTGGGAGGAGTGACGCAGGGGGAGGCCCCACAGACCGTGAAGCCAGGCTGCCGTCCGACATCACGGGTCAGGGCAATCCGGTAGAGACTCTCACACAGCTCCCTGCCCACCATCGCCTCCCCTGGGCTGCCACTCTCACGGCTGCAGGTCGGTCGAGGGCCTCCCCGCGGGCTGCCGGCACTCAGCGGTCACCGGGGCGGCACGACGGGCTTCTCCCCGGGGAAGGGAGAGGGCAAAGGGCAGGCGGAGGGGCCATCGCCCACCTGGGAGGGAGCCATCGATCCCCACGGCAGAGCACGGGACGTCGATGAGTCCCCGTCGCGGGGGCTTGGCGTGGGCAGGGAGATTTCAAGGCTCCTTGGCCCTCGGTAGCATTTCTCCCCACGGTGTCCAGAGGCAACACCGTGGTGGTGCAAAACCCCAGCACTAGCCAGGCCGCTGCTGGGGGTGGGGGCGGGGAATAGCAGTTGCCTCACAGCATCAGACAAACTTTTGGGGGGCTGCCTCTCATCTTGGGACTTCTTTGGTGTACGGGGCCAAAATTTCGCACAGCTACACCCCTCGCCTTTCAGCCCCACTCTCCGGCACTGTCCCCAGGCAGAGTCCCCGTGGTGGAGGGTAACATGGTGAAGAGGGTGGCCATCATCGGAGGGGGCAGCAGTGGGCTATGTGCCATCAAAGCCTGCCTGCAAGAGGGGCTGGAGCCTGTCTGCTTCGAGAGGACCAGGGATATCGGAGGGCTCTGGAGGTTTGAGGTAAACCCTGCCAGCCACATGTCCTGCTGGGGGCCAGCACTGCCACGGCTGGGGATCAGGGGTGGCTGGTGGGGTGGCATGCAGCCAGCCACGGTGGGATCCTGGGAACGAGGCTGAGGGCAGGGGCTCCA